TCACGCACTATAGTCTATTTCATTGCAGTCTATAGCTCAAATCCAGGGTTAGGGCCATATAAAGTGATTGTGAAACCATTGTAACCCATACTGTTCATGACTTTATGGTCCTATACCTCGATTTGAGTTATCAACTGGAATGAAATAGACTATAGTGCGTAAAGTGATAATACTCTACGTGCTAGCGTGTAAAGTATTTGTCTAATTTTTTTTTTTTGCACATATTTTGTTGATAGTAGAAAAAAGTTTCTATGAAATATGTGTGTAAAGTACTTTTTTTCATTCATATGATTATCGCACTCGCCTTCGGTTCGTGCGTCAAAATTCACATGAGTGAAAAAAGGTTCACTTTACACACTTGTTGCATAAATAACTATTTTTTTTTAAAAATTTATTTACAATAAATAATCTTATGCGTAGGTATAAGTTATTGTGTACTTTTTAACTAATATTTATTACCTAACTAATTAGGTAATATTATTTAGAATAAATTATGCAAGAAGTCTTGCTTCTTGCAAATTTCTTGCACAAGAAATCTTGTTCTTGCTCATTAGTTTCTTGTCTTGTATATTTCTTGCTAATCCACTTTTTCTTGCATGCAAGAACAAGACAAGAAAAAGAAAAAGCAAGACAAGAACAAGAAATACCTGCAACACTATCGTCACGTAGACGCAACGGTACTGGAACGTGGCCGTTCACGTTCCGGCTACGTCGCCAAAACGTTGCGATCATCAAAAAATTATCCCCCATTTTGGTAGCCGCTACGTAAGTAAAGCGTTCCTATTACGTGCCCGTCTCTGGTGGCGAAACACTTAAAAATCGCTGAAATGGTCATAGTTACGTTCCAACGACTTATTATGCCAGTTGGGGTTGCTTTTTTGTTTTTCATTTGCCTTAGCGTAAGCATTTAATCTGCTCTGTTTATATCAGGTATTTCCTTCGAAACTATATTCATTATATTTAAATGTTGATTTAGGTCTCTTGGTTCTGAGGCTACTGAGGTATATATAGGTCACGATAGAATATTTCAACTACGCTTTTGATATCAGTTTTATTGGTTATCACCACTTCCTGATCGTTTCTCATCTTGCAGATCTTCATTTTACCTTTGAACATTTTTTATTGTAGTACCCTCATATTTGCATTTTTCACGATGACTTTCGTATTGTAGGTTCTTGGATCTTTTCGGATTTCTTCTCAAACTCTTTTATTAAGTTGTTCGTATTCGTTCGATTCTCTGCACTCTGCACATCATAGGTTTTCGTATTTCCATCAAACGGATCGTTTCCGATGGCGTATTGCCATATTGTACCATTCAGAGATGTATTCTCATTCGTAGATGCCTTTATGTTGGACGATATCACGTATGCGAAATCCGACGAAAATATTCGTCCGATTTCTGACGAATGCAGTTCAGACGAAAACGCATCCAAAGGACGACCGGCCAACAGTTTGAATATATTCTTGTGTAGTATTTAAACCTGTATTTTCAATAAGTCGTTGAATTATTATTTCCTTTCCGTTTGTTTTCATGATAGGTATGTTTACACCACATAAATATATCATGATGTACCAGTACACTGGCTTTTTTTACCTAGTTTATCATGGGAAAAAATTCAAAAATCCGCCGAGGGCGAATCGATCGATCCTATCGAGATGAAATTTGGTACGAATCTAGTGGAGTACGAGTTTTATCGCAAAAAAAATACGGCGGGCCCCTATCTGGGGGCCCCTAAATTTTTTTTTTGCTGCTCCGGATGAAATTCAGAATATAGGTGAAAGGGGTCCAGAAAAGTTGATATTCCAAGTTTCAGCCCTCTCCGACCTACCGGAGAGGTTTTAGCCCCTATCCCCCCAATTTTGGAAAAGACGGTGTAATGGCGCATGCACGGCCTGCATTCACTTTTCCGAATTTCGAAAAATATAAAATACCACCGGATAGAGGAGCCAAAAATACGTTGAAAATATTTCTTGGTGTTTTTCGCTCCGACGCTTCGTAAGCCCGGAAAAAAATAAAAAAATTGATCCTGGAAAATTTTGGGTGCCCGACACGGCGACACTTTTTCGCTTATAACTTCGGTAATTTCGAACCAATTGTCTCGAATCAGGTTTCCTTCGAAAGAGCAATAAATTACTTGAATTTTTTTTTTATTGATAATCCAGGCTGTTTCTGTCTCCGAGATATAAGCCGTCAAAGTTGAAATTTCTCTGAAAATGTATTGAAAGTATTGAAGTCGATTTTCTCAAAAACGGTGCCCCGTGGAAGGGTAACTCTAATTAGCTTTTTTGTAGTTCTCAATGAGATCTACAAGTTTTATATTCAAGGTTTTTCTCCCACGCTCTCTGTTTTCCAGCTAGGATGCTTCGAAATTTAAAAAAATAAAAATAAAGGCTGTTTTGAATTCTTTTTGTCATGACGGTCTAAAGGGGATCCCAAATATCTCCTAAATGGGTTCAGTTTATTTTTTTCTCTCGTTTTTTCGTTTTTTTTTTTTTTTTTTCAAAATATACGTTTTTGCCTTGATATAATATGGTATAATAATAAAAGTAACGTTCTACATAAATTCTTATCAAAATTTGTGAAAATGGCCACATCCCCGCTTGCCCCCACTATTTTAGGAGTCCCAAAAATACCGTAAAAAGACCAAAATTTCGCTCCTGCGGCGGAGCTTCAAGGATTTCTTCATATAAATTCGCTCCCTCTTCTCAAGACAAATTCCTGGCTGCTCCAATGGTGCTGCCGAAGTCGAACATTCGAACATAGCCAAGCTGTCGGAAATCCACGAATTTTAAATGATATACCAGGGACGATTAATGCTCCAACGTGGCGATCCGGCAGTGAAATTGTTATCTGTCAACTGGTCTCATTCAAGCCTATGTGTGTAGTAGTCTAGTCCTGTCTGTCTTAATTAATTCTACTTCTAGTAATTTTTGGAGCCCGAGCCCCCATAGTAATTTTGAAATTTCGGCGCCTATGGTTGAAGAGGTGGATCTTAATGAAGCTAACCCTCAATATGCACTAGTTCGACTTTCAGATGAACAAAAAGCAACGGTTTCGCTAAAACATTCAGCTCCATGTGGTGATGAGAGTCTACTGCAATGTTATAAATACATCTACTCAGTCAGAAGAGTGTAAAGATCTTTCACAGGGACCTATTCCCATTCCCACAGAACAAATGCGGGAGATTGAACAAGAAGCCAAATTTCTAAAAGAAATTCAGTATATCATTACATTCAGAAGTTGTATTTTAATCTGGATACTCGGAAATGCTTGATCTTGAGTAGGTAGTAAGCTCTGGCGAATCTTGGCTTTATTGAGGTATCACAAAATCCTCATTGTTTCCAACGTTCCATTTGGTGGTAAATCGTAATAAGCATTCGTAGTAGGATATTCCAACTGTATAGGTAATTGGGTTAAGAACAAATTGGAGATTTCAGTAGGAGTAATTCAAATTTGATGGCAAACACTTTATTGGAATAAGAAATCGTTTGAATGGCATTAGGTTCTTTACTGGCTCAATGAATTTCTTTGAACTTTGTACGGTTCACATCAACAAATGATTTTTATCATTTGACACCAATTTTAACTTTAATTCTTATATGAGTTTCAGTCAGCTATGTTTCTTCCAGTTTCTCTTAATTCCTGGGCCTGAAACATAGGATTCCCGTATTCCCGAAACATGTATATAATTTTCATTATTTTCTGGTCAATGTTTTATAATAATTTGAATGACTGGATATAGGATCAATAGCATTTTAAGGTACCTAAGTCGAGATAAATACTAAATTTCAACACTCATAAAATATTTACATGTTAATATAAAGGAAACCTATATTTAAAAAATAACCTTCCTTTTTTTCACAGCACAATAATTATCAATAATAATAACTGAACAATTTTCTTTAAAAATTCCAAATAATATACCATGTAATTTGTTGAATTACATTATAGAAAATACCATCGGATGTTTGTTTATTCTTCGGAAAAGTGCGATCAATTTGAAATATAAAATTTATGAAAAGGTGAAAACAATTTATTTTATCATTTTACCGTGCAGTAATTTCTATTTATTGAATTACAGAATAGGAAACGAACACATTTTTGGGAAGTTAAATTTGGAAATTACTAATTTCCATGTACTCACCTAATTTAAAGTAGGTATCTACAAAAAGTTACGTATAATGTCTATAATGCTACATTAGGTAAGTAACGCAATTAAGTGTTAAACCAGGATATTACGATTGCAAATTAAACAGTCTAATAAATAATTCTAATTATTTAAAAGTTCGTTGTAAAGTTATCCATCCGAAAAGGAATACAATAAATAAAAAAAGTCACAGAGGATGTGGCAATTTACAGTCGTGCCAACACGTAGCGCATAAGTAAAATTGGGCAATAAAATCATCATTAGGTATTCTGTCTGGCAAATATTGGCAATAGCATTAGTGTTTATAAATTAGTTTTATTATGAACTTATCGCGGTTTTATTGATATAAGGTTTGAGCTATACGAATGTGAGCTTCTACTAAATTTATAGTGAAAATTGTAAGTGTATATTTCAAACTGTAGAACAGGGTGTAAAATATATAAGAAACTTTGTGATAATTTTATAGAATCTTTGAAATCTGAATTTACTCGCTCCTACTGCTACTGTGCATCTCGCAGATTCTAAATTTTCTGTAGATACTATTTTAAACTGTAAAACATTTTGTAGAATCTGTAAAATGACAGCTTCTGAGTACTTCGATAATAGCAGATTATGCGCTGCTTAGGGCGAACCCCTTCACTCGTTCTCCAGGCTCCACCCCCTGCGTGCTTTGCCACGAAGAGGAGCCTGAAGAACTAGTGGAGGGGGTCGTCTTAAGGGCGCATAATCTACTAATAATTCATGCCAAATAAAAAGCCATTTTTTAAAGATTCAAATCATCTCAAATTCGACTTTAACTGAACTCAAAATAATAAACGCTCTTATACAGGAGAATAATCTGTATCCTCTTACCTGATTTTATTCGCCATTTCCGAAAACGACTCGTCCAAATTAACAACTCCAGCATTTTGCAAAAACAGACCAGTAAACAGCATCCCTATAAGGGCAGGAAGAGTAGTTAAACTCGTCAACCAGCCACCCAAATAAGCGCATATACTTAGCAGTATAAGTTGAAACAATTTTCCGTGTGGAGGGGCGGCAGTTTCACCTAGAAAGTTTCACATATTGAAATTTCACGTCTGAAGGATCGGAGAAGCCTGTTTTCTTACCTACAATCGAATATATGGCACACCACGATAAGAATCCTATTAAAATTAAACAAATTATTCTAGAAAATTGTCGGTAAGTTGGAAAAAACGGATACGGACAATATTTGGGCCAAACGTCTGGTTCCCATGCCGGTATGGATTCGTCTTTGCCGCGACATTTGACGCAGAATTTGTACCACCATGATCTGAAATAAAATACTTTCGATAAGAGGTTTATAAGTGAGTATATATTGATGATCTTGCAATGGCAAATGAACCTAGCTCCTATCCTACAAATGCAAAGTCGGGGATGATTGGAATAATGGAATTTCAAGAAATTAAACTGCAAGAGGTTTGATAATACTATGTATGGCTTTTGTGACGAAATTTTCTGAACCTTATTATTACGTCCTGGGTGATGAATGTGTACGAAAGGGAACAACTTGGTAAGGTTTTAATTCAACGATGGATTTCACTTACCTGCCATCATCTTGGTAATTTTTGGAATGTTGGTCTTGCGATCCGTTGTAGCTGAAGCTTTGCGTTTTATATAAGCCTGGCAGCACGTCTCCATTTTCTCTTTTTTCTGAAAATAAAGGCAGGCACCTTAATAAACAAAAGATCATAGTTGAAAACATAAAAATCATGCAAATATTATTGAACCTAGATATTTCAGAAAAAAAGTCTTTTATTTATTGATAATTCAATCAAAAAATAATCTCATGATAATGTGAATTTTTAAGTTTCGAGTTCCGGTCTTTTTGACCTCGGTTTAACTCATTTAATTCACCATTAAATTAATGGTGAAATATAGTCATTTAATTTTTGACATACATTTCAAATATTCGATCAATTTAGCAATCTAATTTTGTAACTCTCAAATATATTCAATTTACTCAAAACTTTGAACCTCAAATTCAAAAATATTTGGAAGGAAACATGTTTTATTAGATACATTGATTTTCATGCACTAAACTAAGCATACACAGACATAGCCCAAATTATACACACAAAACAACACCGTGAAAAATTACCGTCTTTGGTGCCATAAGAAGCTTTGTCTACAGAAGGACTAATCATGTGCAAAATCCCTTTTCTCTTAGGTGCATCCATTCTATCGGCATCGCATTCTACAATGCTTACTCGACGTTTAGGAGTTTCTAAAAAGAAAAATTTAATCCAGAGTTTATTCAGTTTTTAATGATTATTTTTAACTTCCAAGGGTTTGAAATAAAAATACTATCTGTATTGATTATTCTACAGTTCAAACCCAAATTTCCCATTCAACATTCAAAAGAAGAAATAGAAGTTTTAGATGCTTCAAACTAGGTCATCACATTAATTTGAAGGTACCTACATATAAAACGAAGCCGTGTCGGTGACATCATTTATGACTCGATAACGGCTGGATCAATTTTTTTTGATCTTTGTTTTGTTGGATTTGTCTTTGTCTTGACTAACATAATAACTATTATTACATAGGAAAAAATCACGAAAAACAAATGTATTGTCACAACCCCTAAATACGTTTCGTCCTGGGACGTCACAACAGAAGCGTGACCTGGGGGCGTAGGTGGGGTTCAGGTAGAGAGAAACTCGCTTGGTATAGGTATAATAAGATAATGTATTGAATAATAATAATATTGGGCACCCTAGAAATAATATCATGACGTCTCTTCTACGAAGAGACGTACTACTTATAGGCCACTCTGTATTATGTACCCTTTGTACACTTGACGTGACTGAAGACTAAAGCTGGGTTTGAGACAGGTCCAGAAGGGCGTTTCCCAATAAGGGTAGTTTGCACTGAACTTAGTCTGCTGAGCTCAATACTCCCCGAAGGGTATGGTTTGAGACAGGTCCAGAAGGGCGTTTCCCATTAACGGTAGTTTGCATTGGGCCTAGTCTGCTGCGTTCAATACTCCAAGAAGGTCGTTTCCCATTAAAGGAGGTTTGCACTGGGAGGAGACTTAGCTGAAGGGGCTTTTCCCATTTGAGGTACTTTGCACTAGCCTTAGTCTGCTGGTAATGGATTTCAGCGCGGTATTTATACCAAATTATTGCTGACTCCTCGACACACTTTAGTAAAATTGATGTACAGAGTGGTATTTACTTAAGTACCTAGTTCACAATATGCTTCAGAGGTGTGTAACAGTCTTTAAGAAACACTGGAGAGAGCCCATTCGGTCTAGGACTCTTTGAGGCATCCAGATCCAGATCGATTTCAATGTCATTTTGCAGGGAATTTAGTTGTCTTTTATGAAACAAATATCTGATGTTTTTTAAGCCAGAGCAATTTTTTTTTTTTTTTGAGGTTAGAATGATCCTGTCGCAGTAGCGTCTTAGTTATACTACTACTAAAAAAAATTGGTGTGATGAGATTTTTATAGCCGAATGAATGGGTATTTATTACAATCATATCCAAAATAATGAAGAATTTCAACTATGAAGCCTCATATCATATCTGCACTATAAGAGACAGAAAAATCCATTTACCGTCATTTCGACTTCCCGGCAACGGGTTAAAACAAATTATTTTTATATAAGGGTCGTGATACTCGTAATGAAAGATTTTTAAGTTTACATAAAAAATTATAGCATGCTAAGAATGTATGGAACACAATTTTGTTTGAATTTCACTTACATCATTGCAACTTCCTAGATGATAATGATGCCTATAGCCATATTATAACAGTGTCTGAACTAGGCTGAAGAATAGGTACCTATATATATATATATATTTTTTTAATTATGAACAGTTAAGTTGCTACCTGATGGCTACTGAATTAATTTAATTATTATTATTATTGGGTACCGCGAAATTGAACCAGTGAATATCAAAATTACACCAGCAATGCGCCGGAAACTACGTGGTGCATTGCCGCTTATATAACAAAGTATTTCGTATAAGCAATTATTGTATTAATGCAGACAATGAAAATTGAAGAGCTTATATTATCCTTTCTTGAAAAAAATCTGGCGTTTTTGATTGGCGACATAAAGTTCTTTGGCGCTAAAAAAGTTATGGGTATCCATTAGAAAATACTAAAGAGAATCAAGGAAATGAATACGTCAGGTGAAAATAGCCTACTTTGAGGATTCTAATTATTTATAATTTAATTCCACTCGGCTGACTTATTATGGAACTATTAGGAGGATAACCTATACAGAAATAAAAGAATTATCAAATGTAGAAAATTTCATCTAATCTTTTGTCCTGCTGAATGGTACCCATAACTGAAGCCGTGTGCCTCATTGAATTGGTATGCTGATGAATTAGGAAACGCCAGGACTGATCATTTGGAATTTTGAAACGAATTTCCCGAAACCAATCTACTAGCCTCATCAGTCATCACCCCAAGGACCCAAAGTCTCTACGGAAAGGGACAATTATAAAGCGGTCTTCAAGCTCAGATTACTTTCTATGTTTTTTTTTCTTCAGCCAGCAAAGCAGCTGACTCAGATGTGTTCGGTGTTTTATTGACACATTATGCCAATGTATGGCAACAAGTTGCATCCAAGATTAATTGTTTTCCATTTTCCCATGAGATTAGCGTTATGCCTTCTGCCCTTCCACCATCATTTCTACAAATTCCAAGTGGCTCCAGTATAGCTGGATATTCAGCTTATACCAGAGCCCTTTTGGGAATATCGTTGCTCTGACTGGGTCTGAAAACACGCGCTGCACTTTTCCCGCAGCTTAGCCCGTGAGAGCCATAAATTATGTCAGTAGTTTCTTGCAAAATATATCATCAAATTCTCTTTCAGATTTTGGTAGGTAGTTCTTAAGGAGGGGTCTCAATTTGACATAAACAGAGTCAACTTTTTAAAAACCATCAAAAACTGAGGCACCTGAACACAATATATAGGAAGGTAAATTATTATTAAGTAAATCGCAAACGTTAAATGCAGATCCTAGGAAAGCAGTTGTTGAAAGAGTGAGGCCGGAGTTACTCAATTCCTTAATTCTTAATTTTTGTTCTTAATTCTTAATCTTTAAAAACACCAATGTCAAATAAATTGAAATTTTTCAGAATTAATAATTAGGGACAAATATTAAGAATTAAGGAATTCAGGAATTGGATAATTCCGGCCTAACAAGGTAACTCTAATTCCTAGCCCACTAATTTTTACTGGTAAAGTGCTCTGATACCAAGAATTTAGATTGAAAGAATAATTTGTAATTTCTTACAGAGAGTTTTGTAATAAAAAGTAATATTTTTTATTTGAATTTGAATTTTCCACTTTCAGGAACCCCTGCTAATGTCCCATCATCCACCACAAATTTAATTCTGTGTTTAGGGAAGAAATAAGCTGATGAATACAGGGCCGTGATATGAATATCCCTAGGGGGGGAAGGCTAAGATCCGGCGCTCCTTAAGCGCCGCGAAGGCAATCCAAGGGTGAAAAAAATATATATATATTTGGCAGAGCTGGGCAGTAGCTAGCTACCAAGTAGTTAAGCTACTAACTTAGCTACTTTTTTGGTAGCTAATAACTTATTCAAGCTACTTTTTTCAAAAAGTAGCTTGTAGCTGTAGCTTTTAGTAATTTGTTTCATGTATTCATAAGCTACTGTGAAAAGTAGCTAGCTACTAAAGCAAGCTACTCGAGCTACTTTTGGTAACTTAAGCTATTTTTGGTAGTTGAAGTTACTTTTATTGATTAAGTTGCAATAATTATTTTCCCAGAAAAATCTTATCCTGTGTCTAGTCTATAGACTAGTTTCAACTTGTGTCCCGTTTTATTCTGGCATTCGCACATCGCTGGAGTTAGTGGTTCTGTTCCCCGCAGTTTCACCCGCCGTTAAATTCAGAAGAAATCAGAATTTAGAGTAGGTACTCTCTCAGTAACTTAACTACTTACAATATATAGTAGCTTGTAACTTGTAGCTAGCTACTTTTTTCAAGTAGCTTGCCCAGCTCTGATATTTGGTGACCACATCCAAATTTTGCCAATTTTAAACAAATGTGGTTCATTATTGTCTATTGATCGATCAGTATGAATAATACGTGATTACGTCACCGAAACCGAGAGTGACGGGACACCGACTTTCCGTTATGCCGTTTGCATTTTTCCGTTTCCTATTTGGTTACCGCTATGTGGAGCGCTAATCCTTTAGGTCTTGTAAAATTATATCTGGCATTGCGTTTCCTCTTAGGCCAGCGCACATTGTCTACCGCTTTATGGTGCGCAGCTCCTATAGGACTAGGACTTGTTAGATTATATCGGACGTCGCGTTCCCTATTAGACCAGCGCACGTAAATTAAATAACTACGCTCATATTGCCAACCATTGGGTTGGTTTTCAATAATAATTAATAAAACAACTTGCAGAATTTAACTTTTTTTGTAGCAGTGAAATTCTTTCCAGTAGTAATAAGAAAAAACTTATGAAACACTTTCTCATAGTTCCAGGCAAGCACTTTGCCGTGGTAGCAAATATAGATACTTATTAAAAATAAGTGTTTCTACTGTAACAGGAAAAAAGTATTAGTGGCAGTAAAGAAGGTTACTGTTACAACCAAGGTACTTTTTGATAACTTAGTAAAGTGCGTTCTACTACTATTTACAATAGGGTCGTTTTGCAATTACAGCTAAAATTTCTGCTATGATAGCCGAAAATCCATTAGTAAAGAACTTTTGGCTAGAGGATTTCTCAGTGTAGAATTAACAGAAATAATAAAACGAGACAACGAGAAATATTACAAAATTATTGCACCACCTCTAATCACCAATTAACCTCAAAAAATGACAACGATAATGCATTGCAATGGATGTCTGCAGACGATCGCAGAGAGTGTGCGCTGGTCTAATAGGAAACGCGACGTCAGATACAATTTAACAAGTCCTATATGATTAGCGCTCCATGTAGCGGTAAACAAATGTGCGCTGGCCTAATAGGAAACGCGATGCCAGATATAATTTTACAAGTCCTAAAGGATTAGCGTTCTATGTAGTGGTAACCAAATGGGAAACGTAAAAATGCGTCCCGTTTTGATGGAACTTTTGATTAGGGCGTATTCAGAGAGAAATGGAACTCTTGACTGGGGCGTGCTCGGGCGCCCTCCAGCCCAGCGTCTAAATGCATGCTGAATTAGCATTAAAATACTATCCATTCTGAATTGTAATGTTTGTAAAATAGTATACCCACTATTTAA